CCCCCCAACCCCAACCCCGCCTCATTCCAAAATGGTAAAATTAGAACCCGCAATATAGCTTCGTACGTTTCTAGGGAAACCAAAGTCATTCCATTTAGATGATATCAGCCACTTTAGAAACGAGAAGAAATCAGGGGCGAGTCTCTTCTCGCAGTCACTTGTGGGTATGGTGTTGCGGGCAATAGGACTTCTCTTCAGTTTGTTCAGTCCTTAGCAACAGTCCCACAAGCGACTGCGAGGTAAGCCAGATTCGCCCAGAATTTTCCTCGTTTCAGCAGGTGTTGCCATGAGTTTCCTTTACTTTTCAAACTTGTCGAAGTGAAACACAGGAATACTTCCTTCCTTCTTTACAAGTATTGACTAATGACCTTAAACACTATATGTTTGTCACTATTCAGCCCCTTTGGGTAATTCATCTCCAAAGCTGTCGAGATCTCGTTCAAGGAAATTCAGCAGAGATGTTCTTCTCCACCTGTCAAGACAATACCAACAGAGTACAAGTCCAGCAAACAAAACCAATCCACGAAGACCCATCAAGAGAGCGCGGGTGAGTAGACAATCCCCTGAAGATCTTTTCAATTTTATTACTGAGCCTTTGATTCTTGCTTTAGCGTGCATCATCGAGTTATGGACGCACGCAGGAAGTTTGAAGAGTTCTCGACAATCTTCGGCTATCTTCAGTAATCTTCGGACATTTTCGGAAAATGTTCGGAAGTGTTCGTCTGGGCTAGGCATTTGAGGTGCAGCCGAAAGCAACTCTAGCATATTAAAACTCGATGATACAAAGCTAAACGCATGAATCGATTGTTTTACAAATAGAGAAAACCCGTTCGTATAGTTTGACATTTTTTTTTTTCTGATATATCCTTTTGTTTCTCTTTCAGTCCTTTTCTTTTAATTCCGAGCGACTACCACAGTACAAGCGAGAATCAGACAAGAAATCCAAGTTCCTTTTCTTGCACTATAGCGCCACCAAAGGATTTTGGGATTGGTGGATTCTTATCTTGACGACGTACATTGCCATCATGATCCCTTATAATGTGGCCTTCAGGAGAAATGACCGGAAAAGGGACCTGATCATATTCGACATGGTGATCGAATTGTTCTTCATAATGGACATTGTGGTGCATTTTAGAACTTCGTTCGTGGATTTAAGTGGAAGGATTATTTATGACCAGAAAAAGATTGCCATTCATTACTTGAAGGGATGGTTTATTTTAGACTTTCTGGCCGCGCTACCATTCGAAGCTTTGTATTTTGTTAATCATACTTGGGTGAGTATATATGTCACTGCCATTAAATTCTCTCACGGGTTTGAATTAATCACCGATTCATACTTCAAGCCACGTCCACACTACGCCGGAGGAATCTGAAATTGAAAACGCAGCTTTATTTCTACGGTTCAGGGCCTACTGTCCACACCAATCCGTTACGAAAACTGCAGAGCTTTTCGAACACGCTCTTCAAACCGGAAGAATTTGAAAACGCGGGCTTTGCGTAGTAGTGTGAACGGAAAACATTTTGAAAACGTAGCATTTCAAAAACGATGCATCATGATAGTAATGTGATTTCCATGCCCGAATTTTCCTCAAACATAAATCCAAAATGACTGGTAATTGTTGCGTTTTTAAAAAAAAAAAATTCTCCGGCGTAGTGTGGACAGAAAACTGATGCTGATGCGTTTTCAGATTCCTCCGGCGTAGTGTGCATAGGACCTCAGTGTAAATCATAGAATAGTGATACCCACCCTAGCTTTTGAGCGCTCTTCAAACCTGCAAAGCGGATCATAACTCCATGATGCACAGCTGAAAGCATGAATCAATTGTTTAATAACATCGCTAAAGAAAAAAGCGAAGCGAAGTTACCTCAGCTTTCTCACGCACGACGTCATGAGCGTGGATCATTGAATTATGACGCACGCTTGCGTATACCTACTAGGTTTGATAGCGGGGCTTTGCTACAATCATGAACAAAATTTGGGACAAATTAATTTGAACTATTGGCTCTTTTGCGCACACGCCAGACGCGCATACAACTTCACCTACCTAGCCTCTCCTCACACCCCTCATACAATGTTGAAAACTAGTACAGTACCTGCAATTTCTCCTGCGTTTCAACATTGTACTGGTTAAGAAAAAAAATGTAAATATTCATTACCGAGCTTAAAATTCACCATCTTTATTAACTTATCACTACTCACGATGAATTCGATAGCGTTGATCCTAGCAGTATGCAGGACACCTGTCA